CAAGAGGGACACGGGGATATCGGAGCGACTCCAGCAAAGGGCCACCGAGGCGAGTACGGGACTGGAGCATCTGCCACGCGAGGAGAGGCTGAGGGAGCTGGGGACGTTTCGCCCCGAGCAGAGAAGGCTTGGGCAGGATCTTATCAATATGGATAAATACCTGATGGGAGGGAATAAAGACAAGAGAGCCGGACTCTTCTTAGTGGTGCCCAGTGAAAGGGCAAGAAACAACTGGCACAAGCTGAAACACAAGGAATTCCAGTAGGAAAAAAAAAAAAAAAAAAAAAAAAAAAAAAAGGACAGGGGGGTTGGGTTTTTTTTTTTTGTTTTGTGAGGATGTGCCCAGAGAGTCTGTGGAGTCTCCATCCTTGGAGGCATACAGAACCTGGCTGGACACAGCCCTGAGCAAACTGCTCTACTTGACACTGCTCTGAGCAAAGTGGAGCGTGCGCAAGACAACCCACTTGGATGTGGGGGGAAAAAAATTTTTTTTTTTGTACCATTACTAAATACAATTTTTAAAAAATTAAGTCATGTTTATTTCATCTTTATCTCTTCCTGCTTTAACTTCTATTCTTGTGTATGTTTTATAACATACATAATGTATTAGTACAGTGGTACATGTATATAATTTATAAGGAAATAAACATGCATAAACATATTGGGGGTACATGCTCAAAAACATTTTGCTGGTGCACAATCAAAAAAATTTGGGGACCACTGCTCTAGCTATCTCCAACTGTGCCTTCAACTTCAGCGCGCCCGTGATTCTCTCGATAACAACAATGGATGCCTGTACACAAAGCGAGTGAACAGATTCAGTGGAAAAAAAATTCCCTTCCTGCCAGCTGATGTCTGTTGCTTTCTGAAATTTGTCCTTCACCTTGTTAAACCCAATAACTCCCTAAACCTTATCTTCTTCTAAATTGGTATTAATAATTGGGTTTGGATTTCTTCCACACTTCTTTTAAAAGTTCCTTTATAGTTTAGAGGGGGATTCATTGTGGGTTTTTTTTATTTTTAAGACTCCTCAAGGCCACTTTACCCTACCTTCCCAGAGGAATCGTTACTGCAGCAGCCCACATTCTGGTTTTGCCACCTCTGAAAAGACTACCAGGGTCAGCATTCAGTTAGCTATGCCACTTCCTCCTCCTCAAATACTTATCTCCTCCTAGCAGCCAAACCAGTCTAAAAGCTCCTTTAAATTTCTGGAAGAAGCTTTACTGAGGATCAGGATCCAGATTTTTTTTTACAGTGATTATATATTAAGAACAAATTGAGCCCTGTTTAACAAAAGCTTAATGCTCTTACTTATGCAACTTGACATTATAGGTATATATCTATGCTATTTTTCTGCCAAGTTACTACATAAAATACCCAATTAAGTTACCGTATACACATTCAAGGTATGTAAAGCAATAGCCTATCCATTTATAAACCCCAACTCAAAAAACTAATGTATTTTTATTGTTTACTTGAGCTTTGCAGTTGCATTAAAATATAATAATAAATAAACCATTTGGAGTACATTAACAAAATAAGCAAAACATTAACTGAATTGAATGCTTTATGATTTTATGTGCAATCATAAATAAACCAAATTCTTACAATACCACTCTTTATACACAGAGTAATGGCAAACTACTATCAGCTCATTATCTCATTCAAGGTCTAAAGTAATATGTAAAGCAGAACTAGAGAAAGTTCGTATGCTTTATGATCGTTTCAAAACCCTTCAGAAAGTTTATTTTGCATACATCTATATACATAAACAAGAAGGATGATTTTCATGTAATCCTTAATTTGAATACCATTCAGTTTCTGAAGAGCTGGAAGAAGAACAAGACCCTTCTTGGATATTAGCGTTTGTTTATGCAGAGCACGGTGATATTCATAGACGAGGAATGTACTGAAACCCATATTAAATTGACCATTTTTCTCAAAGAGAAAGTTAAAACGGAAGGTCTCGTTCCAAACAGGAGCACTGGGGAAAAATGTTCATTGTATCTCTCATCTGGCAGTCCAGTACTACCACTCTGGGAAATCAGAGAGGATTTGGGCAGACTGCCCACTCAACTTAAGGCTCATCTGAGATCCACATATATCCGCTTAGCTATCCAACTAGGATTTTGTTGTTGTTGTTGTTTTCATGCCCACATGATTTTAGTGCCTTTGTGCAACGCGCAGCCCTCTCCACACGCTCCCCTTACCAAAAGGAGGCAGGTATCTCGCAACACTGAGGCCAGCAAATCTGTGTCCTTCCACGCCTGGTCCAAAGTCCACTAGAGTTACAGGAAAGCAAAGCGAACTTTGTCAAAAGGCGCCATTTTAATTACATATGCTACAGCTAATCTTGGGATCCAAAGAGAAAAATGCAGCCAGCAAAGATACGGGGTGACTACCTAGCAGTTGAAAGAACTGTACAGCCTAAAATACCAAGTGTCTTTTACACACATTTAGAAAAATACGTACACCTACACGCATCTACCTCTCTAAATTAACATTTTGCACCTTTTATGTGTTACTCAAGTACGTTATAAAAACATACTACAGTCTTAATTTAGTAGGTCAGGTATTTTCTTTACCTCCCTAAAAACAACTAAGAAAAAAAAATCAACCCTATAATATTGACTGCAATTAAGAGAATTCCAGCACTGCACAATATCTGTCACTCTTCACAATCAATAACTACTTCTCAGAATGGCTTGTACGCTAGCAGAAATAGCCAGGATACAAATTTATGAGACAGGAAAGTGCTTTTTATTGTATGCACAGCATAGAAACTTGAGAATCTTCTACACAGTCCTTGTAACAGAAACATGACCTTTGAAATGCCAAAGCTCCCTTTGCTAGTGAATGTTTATCACCGAAGAGCTGTCAGCTCCCAAGTTTTTCAAAGATTAACTCTGCTGAGTCATGTATCGCAAAACGCTGCAAACCTACCCATGGAACATTGTTACAGGAGAGCAGCAACTTCAAATCCAATTTGTTGAAAATACTAAGAGTAGCTTCATATGCCAAAAGTTCCCCAAATCTCTATTTTAAATCACTTTCCGTTTACTGGCATTACACCAAAGATTTACGTACGCAGATGACCAACCGCATAGAGAGAAAACCCTAAATGTATGAAGCAAAGCAAGCAAAAAGCAAGAAATGACCATTAGAAAGGGGAATGCCATGATTTTTACAGTTATTTGCAACTCTAGTAGTTGAAATGTTCAGAAAGGAAGGACTATAATTTGGAGGTAGTAAGAAAGGCTTCAAAAGAACCAGCCTGTGTTTCAAGTCAGAATACCTTTACGCACACTTATTCATAGCAGCGTACGTGAGACAAGAGCATCATGAACGTAAAGTCAGAGTCATGCAGATAAAGTCATTCATACACATTGGCCTGGTTTTGGCTGGGGTAGAGTTAATTTTCTCCACAGTAGCTCGTACGGGGCTATGGTTTGGATTTGTGCTGGAACAGTGTTGATCACCCAGGGATGTTCCCGTTCCTGCTGAGCAGTGCCGACACGGAGTCAAGGCCTTCTCTGCTCCTCACCCCACCCCAGCAGCGAGTAGCTGGGGGTGCACAAGGAGTTGGGAGGGGACACGGCTGGGACAGCTGACCCCACCTGACCCAAGGGATATTCCATACCATATAGCATCATGCTCAGCATATAGAGCTGGGGGAAGGTTGGCCGGGGGGCCGCTGCTCAGGGATGGGCTGGGCATTGGGTTTTGAGCAACTGTTTTCATTTGCATCACTTCTCTTTCTTGGGCTTTCTTTCTTTCTCTTTGTTATTTTCCCTTTCATTACAATCTATTATTTATTGTTATTATTATCTTTTATTTTACTTCAGTTATTAAGCTGTTCTTATCTCAACCCATGAGTTTTCTCACTTTTACCCTTCCAATTCTCTTCCCCCCATCCTGCTGGGGGGGGAGTGAGTGAGCACCTGGGCGGTGCTTGGCTGCCGGCTGGGGTTAAACCGCGACATGCATCCATAAATTTAAAGGGGTTACGAACACAATCAAAGCAAATGGGTGTAATTAGCTTTTCAAGAAGATTCTCAATATTTTTTTGTTGTTGTTTTCAGTTTTTACCGTGCTAGTGCAAGTCTAAGAAGTCACTCGGATATCGGGCAAGTGAAATGAAGCACTGCGTTTGCATCGTTACATTTTACCATCCAACTTTCAAAACCTGTAAAAGTACAGGTTCCTGTAACTTTCTGATCCAGATAATGCTATAACTGACATCTTCCTAATTATTCAGTGAGTTACTTTAGGAAAATCAGTCTTTGATCCCACTACCTTTCAGCGTGGTAATCATTCCCTTTTGCAGGTACTATAGCTGGCAAGTTGCTTTGGAGTCCTGTGCCCAGATACTCTCCAGTGCAAGTAAGGGTGACAGAATATTCATGTACTGACTAATTTTAACCTCCTCTAATAAGCATTAAGTGCGACGATATGAGGATATTCAGCAAAACATACATCTCTACAACATACGAAGGACCGGGTAGATTTTAACATTCCATTAGCAAAACCAAAATCACGTAAATCTGGTGATAAAATCAGAGTACACAGGAACTACATACATAAAAAGCAAATCCAATTTAAAAGTAAACACAGGTTTGTTCAAACAGCATTGTACAATTGCTTTAACACTTACAGAATTTAGATGAACAATATTTTCATTCACTCACAGTTTAGTATAAATATAAAGCAAGGCACCCCTTAAGCATTTTAAATAACAAATTAAACATTTACGTTTTTTACTGTGCAGTCAGGCTTAACATTTATGCAGCTTCAAAACCAAAGTACAGCCTCAAGGGAAGCCTCTCCACTGACAAATTAATACCTTAGAGAATAGAGCTGAATGGTGGCAATGAACTCATTTGTTCCCCCAATAATGAAGAATGACTCTTTCTTTACCACATCTGTGACTGTTGCTATGGTGACCCAGACTTACCTCATTGCTTCTCGAAGTGCTCCTCGCTCGCTAAGAGTCGTGTGCTTTATGTCATCAAAATTATTTTCTAGTTTCTCACAGTTCTGCAACAAACGGACAAATCCCTGTAAGGCTCTTAAACAGTATATTGTACGTGTATTAACATCATTCAACATGGTGCAAACAAAACTGATTTATATTATGTAACCTCAAATTATGCATTCTGTTTTAATTACACAGGAGTCATTAAAAAGACATTGAGAACTCAGAAACAAAGTAAACATGAATCTTATTATATGGTTGTCATGGAAATCATCTTATAAAAGTCCCATAATGAAATGTATAGAATTTTTACCTTTTTCTTCTTTGAAAGAAAAATTATTTTTTCCTTTATCAGTATGCGAGGCTACAAAGCTACCATACGCACACAGATGAGAACAGAAACCTAAACATGCAATTTGGAATTATAAGAAAAGTTATAAATTCTGTCCCAATGAAACAGGCAGTGTTGTTGGAACACACCGATCATATTTATTTCATATTTAATTTCATTTTTAAAACGTAACAGAAACGGAAAAGATGAATTGTTTATAGACACCTCAACCACTTCATGTTTTTTCCAGATTAGAGCTCACCAGTATTTCTAAAAGCAATACGAAGCCAACAATTTTGTGGCAATAAATGAAATAAAACTTCGCTACATTCTGTTAATTATTATTAAATGTGTGACTGGTTCCGTTACTCCAGAGCGCTGATCCTTTTCTTCTGCTCCCAGAAAGGCAGTCAAATTGATTCAGAAGATGCTGGGGGGTACAGAAATTTGGATCTGTGCAGAGCGAGTGTGAAATACCAGCAAACAAGAACTCTCCGGTCGCCTGCATCATCCATAGGATTTTTATATTCTCTTGAGGCTTCGTCAATACCGGAGGCTTTTAGGTTACCCCTGCTCTCTGCAGCACCTTTCTCCAATACCAAAGCTTACCTCTGGGAGGCATAATTTTGCCATATGGGTGTCAAAGAAACTCAAGTTGCAAGCGTGACAGTTACTATTGCTAACACCGGTGAAGGCAGGGTTGTCAGGCTCTGTATGCAGCAGCTTTAAAGAAAGTATGCGCGCTATTATGTGGTCATCTTGCTTTCCCAGTTTTTAATATCCGAATTCATTTTCGAGTCCGCATCTTAAAGCTAGTTATAATAAATACAATAAAAGTTACCTATTGTTATTTCTTTTGTGCATCGATTCTTTATTTTTATAATTACATTCAATTTGAGGCTACAAAAGCATTACTGGAAAGGAAATAATTAGATATTTGTAAATGACCTAACCAGATATTTTAGCTTGTCCAATTAACGTTTAAACTATCATTATTTTTAAGTAAGATTATACACTTCTTAATGCAAAGTTTTAATGCTTTAACAATAAATTTCTGAGCAGGAGAAACGAACAAAGCTACATCTGGAACCTTTGCAATCTCTTCTCTCCCTTATAAAAGATGACGCATGTCTCAAGGATGAGTAGTAAATCTTACCCCATGGCTAATCTGATATTTTTTCTTTGTTTATATTACAATCAGCTGCAATTTGTATGGCAAAATCCTACTCAAAAACTCAAAGGGATCACGCGAGAAAGACAGGGAAGCTCTACAGCGAAGTATTCTATTATTTAGATCAGCATACGTTGACCTCCAGCTCCAAGCACACACATGCAGGTCAGTCATTTAAAATACACAAAAGAAATCCAAATCAACAATACTAATTAATAAAGAATTCCCGATTCATCAGTACTAAACTGAAAGTACCTGTGCAAGCAAAAAAATCAAACCTCCCATCCTCCAGGAAAACAGACCAAAGGAAACACCGTTTGGAAAATTGCTCCAAGCGCCAAAAGAGGAAAGCCCCTGTTTTAACAATCCTGTGCCACCAGCATCTCAGGGTCAGAAAATCTGAGCATCAGGCAGTTCATTTCTCTTGACCTTGTGGTATAAAGCACGTAGAAACAACCAAGGATCCAAAGCACACAAGATTTTTATCACACACAACTAAATCTTCTCTATATCATACAAGCTACAATAACTGATGCTCTCCACGTGGAAAATGCCGAAAAGAGTAAGTTCAGCTGGTATCTCTTCTTTGTCTATATAGACCATACTGTGTTCATCAGCTGAAGGGCAACAAAGGTGGCCCACATCTAAAGAAAATGCTGTGATCGTGTAGCCTTACACACACAAATATTCCCTCTCAGCTCTGAACCCAACAGGAAAATGAATAGATAACCCAGAACGAAAGTGGAACAAATTTTATAGACTCAAATAATAGATATTGTACCAATTCATCTGGCAAGAAGTCGAACTTCTGCCATTTCTGAGAATTGTTTCTGGACAGTATCTGTCTTAGCTACTTTCAGCCAAATAGCTCTCATCCAAGGTGCAGCAGTTGGAGAGCAAATAACTTCACCATTAGGAAAAAATGAATTAAAAATTGAGCCAGACGCAAACTCCTGAAGGAAGATGACCTCATAGTACTATGTCATCAGTTACTGCATATATACTGAAGAGCAGAGTAAGCAAATATTGATCATACCCACTGCTTTCCAGTTAGAGCTGCAACCATCCAAAAGAGTATGTTGGATCCTCTCAGAGAGAAGAGAACAGGGTGTCTGAAATAACCAAACATAAGCACAGCCACAGGTGTACAGATGCCACCTCTTCATGAGTCTGAGTATCGGCTCGCACGCTACATGTGGAGTTCATCTGAAAGGATATCAGTTTATAAGAAAGGCTACCAATATGAATAAAATTGTGAGCATGAGCATACTCTGAAGAATGTGTCAGGGAAATGATGAAACTTCAGTAGACCGTGACCAGGGTGAGCTTTACATTCTTAAGTAATAAAACAGTAGCAAAAATTGAGCTCATTCCATTATCCATACTACCAAATAGATTAATATCTATAAAGATCTTGCACCGGGCAGTATGTTTTGGCCCATAATACTCCACAGATTTAAGTATAATGAGCAATTAAACTCCCAGGTGTTTCATTTTGAGCAACAGCTAAAGTAAAAAAATCAAAACACAAGCAATGAAGAAAATTGATTTTGGTGACTTACTGCCAAGTGGTTTTCTGTGGGTATAGATAAAGTCTAGAAGTTTTAACTCTGTGACTCAATAATTCTATCGTACTCTATATGTTATCGCTGTTGGCAGATCTATAGTGCTGTATGATACTAAGCTAATATCACCTTTGAGAAGTTCAGGAGGAAAAATAAGTAGAGAGATGTGATTAGGGACACAGTCATCGTAAGTCAAACTACCATTGCATATCAAATAGCCACGGAAGTCTAAATACTGCTTCTTAAAGTATTCTAGCATAAATACTTGGAGGTTTTTAAATGAACCAGAAAGCAAGAGAGTGGGGAAGAGTTTTATATATAAATAAATGGCTTATTTATCATATGAGAACTTAACTAAAACTACATGACAGCTAGTTAAAAAGGGAGACGTAGACTGGATATCCACAAATACCCATGGCATCACACACAGCATACTGGTGGAACATCTAATCAGAAAGGAGAAAGACGAATGTATGAAGATGAGGAAGAAGGAAGATTAATGAACAAATTGAAAAGCTTTTCGTCCCATAACTACAAAAATATGACTTTTTTTTCCTACTGTAATTTATTATTGTTAATAAAATAAACTGCAAGCTTTGGGAGCAAGGACTATGTACTTGTAATTCTCTATTTTCAGTTTTGGTAAGTGATAATACTAATAAATCATGACATAAACTTTATAATAATATTCTAACAGTCTGAGGAAAGTCAGCAACTACAGGTCCAAAGTACTCTTACTCTTTGACACTGGTTGAAGTAACAAGTTAGCTCACATAACTGGACAATATAAATAATCATTCTAGTTTTAAATAAAAGCCTAGCATTCCGGTAAAAGTGAAGTTGTACTTTTTAAAACGTATCTCTAAGCATTCGGCAGCTTAGCTTTCTTGTATACATTTTTGTCTTGGATGGAAAAGCCCTCTTTGCTTGACTTAGTCATTTGAAAAGCAATTCTTGATTTGGCCTCTTGGGCAAAATGCAAAACTTTGCAGGAGTAGCTCAGAAACCAAAAGCAGTCTATTGCCCGGTGTCACCGCTGAGGATCTCCCTAAATCACAAAAGCATTGCTGCCTCTGCTCTGCCGCGACAGGCCTAAGAGTCAGAGTTTTGAGAAGACCAGAACTCAAACTCACCCATTCCGCAATACAGAGCTGATAAAAGAAGTGACCCCACTTCCATTGAAATCAGCCTTAAATCTGCCGTCCCGTCAAGTGGGAGTGGGATCACACTAAGCCATATCCTGCTACTTTAACTCTGGCCTGAAATGCTTCACATAAGACTTTCAAAAGTGTTACTATTACAGATAATGTCTTACACACACTTTGAGACAGTTGAAAAATAAAATCTTTTGATCTGACAACAGCGTAAAACCTATTCTAAGGCAGCCTGCATGACTGAAGATAGTAGATCTCTTATCCCAGTTGATACACTGCCAAATCAAAAGCCTTACTTCAAATACCACCTCCCTTCCGTGAAAAAGTTTTTAGGTAAGTGGGATTGCCGAATTCTTGGAATTCATTGCTTCCACATGGTTTTCGGAAATTTTCTTAGAAAGTTTGACTTTTTTCCAAACGTTCATGGAAGTGAATCTCACATTTTTACTGTCAAATGTTCTCTGTGTATTAAACATAAAGAACGTACAGCAATTGAAAGATGGAACAGCTCTCGCCTGTTCAGTTTGTATTTACTACTGCTGCTAATACTGAAACAAATTCATTTTTCTCCTGTTTTCTCCTTTAGAATCCATGAAAAAGGTTCCTACAGAGTACGTTGTGTCTTAATTTTCTAATGTTTATCCAGCCAAATTTTAAAATGTGCATATTAAATGTATTTGTACCTAGACTTCCGAGTGCTTAAAATGAGACAACCTGGTCCAAAATCTGAAGGACGTAGTAGCTCCCTCTGGTATTTCAGTTAGTTGCCTTTAAGGAGGCAGTCTCCAATAACAGATTGCCAAAACTGTTGGGGACCTAGAGAATCTACTCTAAGCACCTA